AATTGATTCGAGCACCCATTTTATTAAAGCTTCAACTTCCATCAGTTTCATTATCGAAATTCAAAACCAAAGGCACGAAATCTGGCTAAAGTAAATACACTCGCATGTTCCACGCTTGTCATTATTGGGAATTCACAACGTAAACGCTTATTTCGAAAACTGAAAATTAAACAATTGAGTACCAGTGATCGCGTTTCGTTTAAGTTTTTTTTTTTTTTTTTTCAAGAACAGCCGTTTGAATTATTTTCAAATATACGAAAATAACAAAGTTTGTTAATAATACAAGAACTTATTTTACATCTCGCTTTGGATATTATTACAGTATTTCTTGTTTTTTTTTCAATTAATTATTATTATTATCTATATTATATTTATCATTTATAAGAGGTAATATTATATGGGTTATAGACATTCACATTACGGTGAAGGTAGTTTTTTTTAATAATAATGTTTTTGTAATACATAAAATTCAAATTCAGTATGAGAATATCAATCTTAAATTACTTAAACCAACCTTTGTTAATAGTTAATTATTAATCTAAAATACTAAAAGTATTATTTTTATTTTACTCTTATTTATTCAAAATATTTTTTAATAATCAATAATTAAAATAACTCTAATATTAATTTAATGATAAAAATGCTTTATATAAAGTAATTAAGTGAAAATAATTAACATGATAATTACTAAAATTTATTACTTTAAGACATGTGAGAAGTACATTAAAAATATATTTTAATAAATATTTATTATATGTATTCTAAAAATAGTATTAAGACTAATGTTAATATTTTTGTTTAATTTTTTAATTTTGTATTGAATAAATTCAGTTACACTACTTTGTAAATAAATCAATTGACGTAAAAATATTGAGTTTGAGTTAGTTATAATTATATTAAATTTTGTTAAATTCAGTCCTTGAGATGAGTTTAAGAATATATAAATAAATTTTTTTTTATAAAAAAATATACAGTTATTGTATTAAAATTATAAAAATATAATAAATATTTTTATTTTTAATAAATATTATTATTAATTATTTATTCTCAGTCTTTAAAATTAAAATTAATAAAACTCTTATATTAAATATTTAAAATAATTTTTTATTATTTATATTTATTTTTATCTAATTTAAAAAAATAAAAAATTTAACTATTAACAAAATTAAAATATTATATAAAAATTAACAATAAACTTTATATTAAAGTGTGTATATAACATAACCAATAAATTCTAAACATAAAATAAGCAACTTTTGAATTGTCAACCTTCTCTCACTCATCTTAATTTTTTTATTACACTGTGTTTTAATATATTTTTAATTTTTTTTAACAACGTGAGTTTTAATATTTTTATATTTTTTAATAACTACTTTAAAAACAAAAATCATTAAGACCCATACTTTTATTTCAAAATATGATAGTTTATATGTTTTTTTAATTTTTTTCTAAATATGAACATAAATTAGTGGCATTTATTCTAAGAACAGTGGACGAAATTTCCACATATGTTATTCATTAAATTTTTAAATAGCACGACTGTAATGTAGGATTTTACAACTATGAACAGCTAATACAGTAACGTTTTAGGCAAATACACATTTATTGAGCCACGTAAACCTGAAACATTTTATAAATAATGTCACCGAGAAGGTAATTTTAAATATATTCTATTAAATACTTAAAAATAAATATTAAATATTTGTCTATAAAATTGAAATAATAAAAATTTAATTTTAAAGTTCTTAGCATGTGTCCTAAAATATACATGTAAAAAATATATTAATTTATTAGATAAAAATAAAAGAAAATTGGCATTTGGGATTTCCTGAGACATAAGTAACTTTTTTTTATATATAAATCAGATAAAAATTTGGTTAATTTATCTTTAATTTTTAAAATTTAGTAATTTAATTTTAAAAATAAAACGATTACCACATTAAAAATAGAAATATCATAAATATATTTTAAATAAACTTTTTGAAAAACAGAAATTGAAATGAATTTATTGAGTTAAACAGGGAGAAAAGGTGTGTGAAGAAAATCGTATAGTGTGCAAGAAAAGGTGGAATATGAAATGTTTATAATATTATTATAAAAAACGTAAAGGTGCTCATATCATATATCACCATTCACCAAACTTTTGGAATTATTATAGAAACAACAATTTATAATCTGGATTCCAATTTATGTAAGTTCGGAAACGTAAGATTGGGGCACGGACTTTTTATTTTGCTCAGATCAAAATTAATCAAAAAGCTATTAATTTATGACTTTAACAGAAGAGCACCAGTTTGACTGCATTTTTTAAATATCACCACTCACCAGGTTTCGTCTCCAACAATTCCCCAAATTCTCTTTCATTACATTTACTGCTTTTTCTTTATTTTAATCAAAGACAGCTGCACACCTGCACAATTACTCTATTACCCTTCTCCGCACCCCATATATTATATAAAATTCACTCACTTTTTTTTTATATATATATTTTTTAAATACTCTTTATTTGTTAAAACTCATTAGAATTTAAAACTATGCATCAAGCCATGTGCTTAGCTGTAATACTAATTATGATTTAATTCAGTTCATCTTTTCTAAAAATTTAAACTTGTCCTACTAGCACAACTTTTTATTTCAGTTAAATCTATTCACACAGGAGTAGTGTTGTTAATTTACTTTGGAAGTGAAAAATTAACTTTTTACTCGTTTTTTTTTCTCTTTCACTGTTTTATAGTAATTATTTAAAGTAATATTATTTGAAAACAACGGTGCTCGGATTAACAATGATTATAAAATGTTTAGAAATTATTTTTTACAGAAAAGTGAAATCACTTTTATTAACTCGTTATTGTTTTACAAATATATATTTTTGGCTAATGTATGTATATGAAAAAAGTGAAAGATAATAATATAATGATAAATTAATTAAGTATATTAAGACATTTTAAATATTTAATTCTTTGGCATCTATCTGAAAAATACTTTCATATTCTCTTCAAGACATGTGAAAAATGGAACAAAAAAAAACGTGGGAGAATATCATTACTTTCATTATTCTTGTCATCAGGATTTTGATTTGACGTCCGTTCAATTGCTAAATATTTCGTCGACTCCCATCAAACTCCATTTTCTGTAATTCTGCTTAAATATTTCTATTCTGATTTTTTAAAATGGTAAAATATGAAAATATAAAATAATTTTAATATATTTTTAATCTACTTGTTTTTATAAAATTTTAATTTTAATATCATTTTTAATATAATTTATTATTTTTAACATCTCTTAAAAAACCAAAAAAATTACAGGTGATGACTTATAAGTCTGTGAGATAATCGTTTAAGAGTCATTAAAAATTAAAACTGTTAAATTTATAAAAATTTAGGAACCAAAAACGATTTAAAAAAAATAAATTAAGTAAACATTTTACAGAAAAATTAAGATAACAAAATATTTAAACTAATATAAAATTATTTAACAACTTAATAATTAAATTACTATTATATATAAAAGCAACTAATAATTCTAAACAAAAAGATATTAGATACGATATTTCATCTCCTTGCTCGCCGCTTTTCAAATTATCCCTTAATATCGATTTGAGATTCTCAAAAACACTTTAGTTGGAACAAGACAATTTAAAAAGACACAAAACAAAGGAGAAAAAGAGTGAGTGAGAGAATAAGGCGATTTATTAAAGCAATAGATTTATCCATCTAGTAAATTATCTAACATGAAATTTTTTAAAACAAAGGCATTTTTATTTAATTATAGTTTTTCACTTCTCAATTATTTTTAATTAAGTAAAAGGAAATATTTTTTTTATCTTATTCAGACTGTTAAAAATAAAATCAAGGACTTATATTTTCAATTTTTTTAAATTTATTTTCACAAAAATGTTTATTTTAATAGATTTTAAAATCATATATTAAAACAAATAATATATAATGTATCAAGTTGTAAGTTCAAAGTTTCAAGCATTTCTTTAGGATCTGTGTAATAATGAGACTTCAAAAGAAAAAACAATAAGAGAACGATAAATTTTTAAATAAATATATTTTAATTTAATAATGATTTAGAAGAAATGATATAAAACAATAAATTAACAAAAAATAATATATTAATCATGTTTTTATTATAATAAAATGATGAATAATTTTTTAATTTTAAATTGTTATTTTTTCTTAAAAAAATTATCCTCTCAGGTAATTTCTTAAAATATATTTGTAGGTTGAATTTTGAAAGAGAAGAAAACTCTAATTTTAAAATTTTAAATGCATATATTTATAAAAATAAATACAAATATAATACATTAACTCTGTATTAATTTATTATTTTATATTTACAATTTTAAAAAATATATTAAAAGTTTGCTTTCTCCTTTTTGTGATAATCCATCTCCCATTAGTACAGGTAACTGTAAATTCTTTATAATTTTTTTTACATTTAGAGACCTTTTCTGTCTTAAACTGTGGTATCAGTTTTTCTAGAATGTCCTTAAAAAATAGATATAATATGCTTTCACTTAAGTAAATAATAATAATTATTTTATCTGCTCTACATTAGCCTTCACATGAAAAGAAAGTTAAGGGGAAGGTCTTGGGGCGGTTACAGGGGATAATTTGGGCATAGAACAATAAGGTGTGGTTGCTATCCTCATGGATTAGAAGAGACCCTTCACATTATTTTTATATTTAAACATTACTTTATACAAATTAAAATAATAATGCACAGTAGAGTCCCGACAACAAAATAGCAGTTTCCCATCCCAGCCTCATTCTCCTCCATTAATGCCAATACACAGAGAGTAAGTTTTCATAATTTCTTTCTACTACTCTCACTTCAAACATTAAAAAGAAACAAAGAAAAATAAAAGCCTTACACTCTCCCTATTCCTTCCATTTCTGGCGCCATTTGCAGACTCAAAACTCCACCCTTTCTCTCCTTCCCTTTCTAGAAACACACAAAAACACCTCTCTCTTTCTCTTTCCTCTTCATCCTTCATGGAACCATCACTGAACAACACTGTTTCTTCAGGGTCATCCCCTCCTCCGGTGACAAACTCTTTGCCTCAAGTAATGAACATGAACATGAGCATGAACATGAACGTGGGTAGCTCCGAAACAACACCAACACCAACACCAGCATCAGTAACAGCACCAGCACCACCTCCAACAACAACTGTTCCTGCAGTGCCTACAACAACAACACCGGGAAGCACCGGAGGACAAGGGAGCTTCGATTTGTTTGGTAAAAAGAAGAGAGGGAGGCCAAGAAAATATGATGCAGATGGGAACCTGAGGTTGAGTGCAACACAACCACCCGCACCACCGGGCTTCACCTTGTCCACATCTTCTGAGTTTTCTTCCAAAAGGGGTCGTGGCAAACACGCTGCGTTTGCCAACTATCAACTCTTTTCTTCTTTTGGTGAATACTATTACTACAACTTTGTTTGTCTCAGGTGTTGTTGTGATGTGCTGACCTCACTAAAATGTACTGTTTTGTTGTTATGTTGACTTACCCGCCAACAATAAAACCCTGTTCCTGTGTAGGCTGTGAACCTTTTTTTAACATAAATCATGGCATCTCAAATTCTAGTACTTGTCGTTCATGATGTCTGAAGGCTCACTTTCTGGGTTGAGTTTTTTTATTTTTGGTTCATTGGGTTGAGATCGAGATTTAAGCTCAAATCTAATGGCAGGAAATGAAAAAAAAAAGTTGCATTTGTTAAAGGGTGTCTTGATACGATATATTTTCCTTTTTATTTCTGATAACGGTCAAGCAATGAGTTAGGGCTCATGATCGGTGAAAAAGATACGAACTTTCCTTTCTGTTTTTAATAATCTAAGGTTGGTATATACATTATATGGCTAGAAAGGTGTGTTCTTTTCTGAATTTATACACCTCGCTGCTTCTAACTTTGACTGTGTAAATTAGTTAAAGCGATATGTGCTGCTTTCCATTATATCGCAAATGTATTGAATATTTCTGGGTCTGGAATGCTTGAAGGTGAGGTGTTTGCAAGCACTGCTGCTGGGGATTTTACACCGCATGTGGTGACTGTTTATACTGGAGAGGTAATGCAGATACCAGGGTACATTTTTAGCTTTTTGCAGATTTATATAACAGTTTTAACAGTTGTTTCTTGGTTAGTTTTAATAGATCTTTTGCATTTGATGATTTAGATGAAGTTCTTAGTATCTTACTTTATTACTTTGCAGGATGTTGCTGGAAAGATCATGTCATTTGCCCAGAAGGGTCCAAGAGGAATATGCATTCTCTCTGCTAACGGAGCTATCTCAAATGTCACCATACGCCAACCTGGTTCTTCTGGTGGCATACTGACTTACGAGGTATGGTCTCTTAGATCTAAATGCCCTTTAAGTGAAAAATTATTTTATCCATTTTTTCCCTTTAAATGTTGATGTTTAAATTGTATTTTCAATTCCATGATATGAGGACCTTTATGATTAAGTCATCCCTGGAATAATCTCATGGGGTAGCCTATTTATTGTGTCTTCTGTCAAAGTATAGATGCTATACAGGACAACACTTGTTGTACATTTATGTCAGATGATCTCTGTTTGTCTTTTCCTGCGGGGTTGGTCACAAAGTTTCTTCCTTATCTACATCCCTATTGGATATATGCTCAAATTTTGGTTTATCCCATCATTGCATCAGCTTCATTGTCAGATCTAACACTGGGAAATGGGAAATAAGTTAATTTGTAGGATGCGAAAATAAAGTTCCACTTGCTAGAGAAGTTACAATTACCAAACTCTTGGTAAAACACACTTCTAGGGATTTCCACTTCAGTGAAGCTAACTTTTACTGAGGTGTCATACTCATTTTCAATCTAATGAGACCTTACAACTAATGTCAAATCATAATTCTGTTGGCTATCTTAATCTTGCTTCAGAAATAGAGTTTCAGTTATTGGAGTAGATAGATATAAATTTCTAAAATTCTGTCATGGACTGTTGAAGTAGCTGTTTTGTTTATATCCTCAAGTGTTACAGTGTGATAAGTGACAACTAAAAGGTTAAAGACTTCTTCAAGTGGAGCTTTCCATGTCTTGCAACAGATAAATGCATAAAGACATTGCATAGATTTGATGATGTGAATCATTTATTTGGTTCCTTATTAATCTGCACATACAAAACTTTATATAAAAAAATTGAAGATTGGTGGCGTGTCCGAGGTCAATGTCACCTGTCCTTTTCTGTTTAGCATTTTCTCCTGTTAGTGGCATAACTCTTTTTATTTGCATGCAATTGTGGCAAGTGATTCTTGAATTTCTTCAATAATTTAGTCCACTATTTACTTTCAGGGCCGATTTGAGATTTTATCTTTGTCTGGATCATTCACGGTTTGTGACAATAATGGCATGAAAGGTCGAAGTGGTGGATTGAGTGTCTCACTGGCTGGCCCTGATGGTCGGGTCATAGGAGGTGGTGTTGCTGGTCTATTAACCGCTGCCGGCCCCATCCAAGTATGATATTTTCTTTGCTGCTTTGAAGATTTACATACAAGTTTAGGTTTAGTATGATGTGAAACATTCATGGATTATTTTTCAATACAACTTTACTAATAAAACAGACTCATGGATTTTTAACCGTATTTTTTTTAGTGTGATTGAAATTAGAACTAGCATAAGTTATCTCAAAAAATTGAGAACAAATTCGAACATTGCATCTATGGAACTGTTAATTGAGGCTTATCTCCTAGGTTGCATGACCAAGATCTTTGAACATGTACTGTTTTCATTTGAATGGTTGACATGAATATGGAAGTAATTAGATTGATAGTCTTACTGACACATTTTGGTCCTCTATTTTTCTCAAAGGAGAGTTTTCAGTTTCACTTTTCAGCATTATGAAGAGTGCATCATGGTTTTATGATCCATTAAGCTACTTGTATTGGAAATTTATTTGCAATGGTTTCAGATTGTAGTAGGAAGTTTCATGCAAAATGGTTACAAGACACATAAAAGGAAGTATCAACGCGAACATACAGTGGCCTCCCCTACTTCAGTTGGTCCAGAGGCAGTGACAGCAGCAAGACCTATCTCACAAGCAAATGCTGATGGTGAAAACTTTATGATACCAATGTCTCAGTTACCGGATCAAAACCAGAGAGAATCTGTCAGTGTTACAAGTGATAAACAGAATGTAGATGCCACACCTGATGCTGCTACTTGGAATGGTTCTGAAGAATTTTCAGATCAGAGGACATCCCCAGATATCAATATATCTTTGCCTGATGAATAGAAGGTTATGGTACTGTTTTATCTTATGATGTGATATAGGATGCGGTTAGATACATATAGTTTAATTAAACTTTTATTCAATAAATTTTTTTTATATGATCGTTTACTATGGAATTTGTTGGGATAAGCTTAATACAATTTAGTTTGACAAGTAATACAAATAAGATTATTGCAATAAGCGCTTCTAAACAGGCCATAATGTTACTCCTTCAGGTCAATAATCTTATGGACATTTCATCATTTTGTAACTATTTTCCTTTGGTTTTTCAGGTGATGCAGAGGCTGACATGGTAACTGAATGAAACTAACACCAGGACTTTGTCATGACAACTAGGTTATTTGGCATAATGTACAGTTGTCAGAAATTAGAAAGGATTATTAAGGCCTCATTATTTTTTCATCTTACAGTTTCTGTTGAACAATTAACAAGTTTTCTCTCATTTCTTCATGAGTTTGGAGCTAGGTAGATGGAATGATCAAAGACATTGTAAGCTATTCTGTATTGTTTTGGTAAAATTACTTGTATTTTTTTCCTTCAATCTTGCATATTTGGGACACTTTTCATACGGACTTCACATTATCACAGATCCAGAAAAACAATATACATAAAAGTTCCTTCTGATACGTTGCTTAAAACTGACATAAAGGTAACATTTATATTTTTATGTTTTGGGCGTGTTGCCGGTGGATAGGCTTTTAATCACAATTGAACCGGTCTAAATTGATGTGCTTGCAGCTTTTTTTTTGGTACTAAAGATCATATCATGGTAATCATTCCGACCAAAAAAGTAAAAAAAATTGTGAATAAATAAGAATGATTTGAGTGTAAAAGGGATAAAGCCCAAAGGCTAGTATTGTCCTACACTAGGGTCCTAGTATATATTTTTAATCTTTCATTGAATTTGTAAGAGGCAATGAGGCACGATTGAAAAAATAATTCTAGAATCGAAAAAATACTCTTGAAGATTTAATTAAATAAAAGAAATTCCTAGAAAATGCGATTAAATGCATCACCATTACTAGAATGCCTATACATGATATATGTAGTTCTACTAATCATATCAATTTTTTAAATTAAGATTTGAAATAATTAAGTTAGAAACAAGAAGAAAAGAAAGACCTCAAATCAAATACCAAATACCTATACACTCTTATAATAAAGATAGTTTTAAGGCATAAGGAAGTTGATGCTAGGCCGAGAGAATCATCATATTTTTCTCCTGATTTTACTTAGGTTATGTTTGGATGTTATATTTAGAAGAAAAATGGAAGGATTACTAGAGTTTAAACCTGTTTCAAAGTTAACTAATTAAAAGGAGAAGAGTTATGAAATTTTTCTAAATTTTTTAGCACTTTTCTAATGTTAATTTTTTTAGTCTTGAATCTTTCAATTTAGAATATTTTTCTCTATTCTACTCTATCATACTCTTTCATAATTATAATTTTTTTTTAAATATATTAATTTTTAAAGTGATAATTTTTAAAAAAAATTATTAATTTTAGAGAAAAAATTAATCTTGTATATTTTTTTTAAAAATAAAATATATGAATAAAAAATATAAATGATAATAATGATTATATTTCTATTACTCTTGCGTCTTAATATTAAATATCTAAACAAGAGAATAAGTTAACCTCCACTTTATTTCTTTTCCCTTCAAACTTTTTTTTTTTAAAAAAAAAACCTAAACAAAATAGAGTTTACCAAATATTTGGACTTTTTTTTTGTCAGCTCCCAATCTTTGGGCTAGCTATCTGTTGATAACTATTGGGCCAGTTACCACCCATACTGTCAGATGAGGCCCATCCTTTTTACACTTTTTTTTTTAAATTTTGTTAACTTTTGTTCCAAATCGAAAATTTCAGTATTTGGATTCCACTGAGCACCCAGGGGAGTGAGATTTGCTCTCTCTTATTTCAGTATTTCTCACCTTTTTATTTTGTTTTCAAATTTTAATATCAGCATTTTAAAATATTTAATTATGATTCCTTATTTCATTTTGATGTTATTGTTCAAAAATTTTTGTTAATCTGTGTAGAACTTAACATTCATTGTTCTGGGTACTGTGCACAATGTAATGGATGGAGAAAATTGGTGCTACTTAGCTTGCAAATGCAGTAGAGTTGTGTGTCTTCATTCAAAAATATATCTTTGTGAAAACTGTAGCCGACATTTGGGATTTATTTCCATTATTTCACCAGGTATTTGTTTATCATTTCTATTTAAATTATTTGTTAAGTTATTGTGTTTTTACTACCAATAGCATGTGAGATATTAAAATTAAGGTAATCAGATCAAGGTTCTGGTAATAGATGACACAAGTTCTGCCACATTTGGGAATTATTTTTTATTGTGATGCAACCTTTCTGATGAATAAAAGTTGTGCTGACATGATACAATATCTAGACAAGGTTACGCCTTTTTAGTTTTAGGCAAGACAAATAAATTAATGAATATATTATCTTAATTTTTTTTAAATCTATATTTTTATTTACTAATTGTGTGCTGCACTTTTTCCATATCAATCAGGATTCGAATCTTCCTGTGAAGATTTCTGCTTAATTGACAAATCATTTTTGTTTAATGTTAGGATTAAGACTATTGTTAAATAACGACAAGGATGTAAAGTTTATAATCTCTATTATAAATTATTGATTCTCTCGAATTTTTATTGTTTCAGATGGGTTGAGTTCCTTTTTCTAAAAAAAATAAAAATGAAGTATGATAAAACTGCTTATTAGAATTGATGAGTACATGTAAGATTTGTTTAAGAGGGTTTGTAGTGTCAATTAACCTGTGTATTCATTAAAAATATTTTTAGAAAATAATATTAATCTATAATTTATAATAAACATACATTTAACATGCATTAAACTTTCTATGAATAATATCGAGCTCTAAGTCTAAGTTGCGTGGAGGAGAATGTGCGAAAGAGAAGGAAGGTGGGGTGTCTTGTCTAAAGTTAGAATCGCACTTCACATTGATATATGTGAAAAATGAGCTTATGCCACTGCCACCTCTCTGTTTCCCATACTTGTATACTTCTTAGCTCTCAACTTTTGATTTTGTTGAGAGTTCATTCATCTAAATCGATTCAATTAAATTATCAAAAAGAGAAAGAAAATTTCACCAACTTGTTCTCAAAACTGTCGATTTAATAAGTTCGTTCAATTCATCAGGTGCTTGTTAACTTAATCAAGCAAAAATTTGGATCACAATGGAAAATTTTATCTGTCACAGTAAGTTATTAACAAGTTTTTTAAATTTGCTTTTATAATCCTTAAGAAATTAAAAAAAAAATAGTGTTTAGTCACTATGCAACACTTTTTTGGCAAAAAAATTAAATAGTCTCGGTCACTCATATATTATGCAGATGAATTTTATAATTTAAAAAATTTATATATTTTGACGTAAATAGTTAGAATGTTAAGTTTATAATATTTAAATATGAGTAGGGGACACATAGTTTCATAGAAAAAATAAAAAATAAAATTATAATATTAAATATGTGACTCTCCTAATATTAATTTTAGTTTATACAGTACATGCTTTACTTGTCTTAAATAATATAATGTATTAAAGAAGTTATTAAAGTATTTAATTTGACCATGCTGTAAATGTTCATCACTCAAAAAAACTTGTCTCTCCTAAATTTTATATTTATATATATATCTAATGATTGGACCACTGATTTTATTAATGATTCCATTTAAAAGAATTGATAGACTGTGGTTAGAGAAGTGGGAATCTATCTTAACCTGCCTTCGAAAACGAAAGTTAAAGACACTACCTTCAACCTAACAGTTGTTGAATGACCCTTTAATTAGAAAGTTAAACCAAAATACGCATGCATGTGTTTTCAATCGTAGCCAATACAAATACCGACCCTTTCATTGGCTGTTAAGACAAAGACATGAAACTAAAATGATGATAAAGTGAATAATAGCAAGTAAAAGTCAAGTCATTCACTCATTAAACTTTTTGAGTTTATAATAATTTTTATTATTACTACTAATGATTGTGAAATGCATTTTGAATTTGAATACTCCCTTTCCCCAAAACCAAGCGTATTCCATACAAACTATACATTACATAGCTTACAAATGTTTTAAAAAATTACAAATACACATTGATGTAACAACATCATCATAATGTATCACTATATCCATTGAATGAAGCAAATTTGAAGTTAATTCAAACCACTTAGAGGATTATTGGGCAAATTTCGCTTCTCCTTGACAGAATCTACTCCTAAGCTAATATAATATCAACGATTAATGTTGACACCATATATGTTATTATATATAAATTATCCTTTGTTTGCTTGCACGATAAAGACATAAATCTAATAGATAATGGTGAGGGGTATAAAGTCTAAGTCTGTAATGAATAACAATCATGTGTAAGTGGAGATTATTCACTATTTGAAATTAAAGTTAAAGTTAACAATTAGTATTTAACACTCTAATTAAGAGTTCTATTTATATACTATTTGACTAAGGCTTGATTATTAGGTGACGATTTAGAAAGATTTGTGACTATTGATAACGATTATTCATTCTGATCTTCTTATTCTTATTATCGTGTATTCATTATTACACAAGGTACATTCCATATTTACTTGGCACAAACTTGCAACATACTACTACTACTCCAAGATTTAACCAAAAAACAATAAAGCGTGTTGACGTAACATTTATTAATAGTTAATATGATTGAATTGAAGAAAAACAGATAATCAATAAATAAATAAAAAATAGAAAGAAAATTTTGAAATGTTTCAAAAATGAAAAGGTATTTTGAAGTCTGAGTTGCAGGCAACGCACCCCTCATCATGGTTTCACGACTTCAAACACTGATTTATTTGCACCAGAAAAGAATCTAAAGCATTCTTGTTTACTTTTAATTTTGAAATAATTGTAAAAAAGAAAAATAAAAACTTTATGTTAAAAAACGAAGTAATGACCATCCAGAATTTATTTTAAGGAACAATTATTATCTATGGCAAGATGGACACCCCTAGAATTTTCATTAATCACGTGGCATAATTACAGTTCCATTTTACTTTGTTTACTAAAAATATCACAAAAAAAAAGGGTATCATTTTATTAATGAATTGAAATTTTTTCTAACGTTAAAATTGATTATATAATAAAATTATATTATTAATATAAATATTATAAGTATGTACTAATAATAATGTATATTATACTAATATTTGATATATTAATAATATATATATTCCTTTTATATTAATAAAATAATTTTTTAATATGATGTACCTTATTATTAATATAGACTTATAATGTTTAAATTAACAATTTAATTTTGTATGATAAATTGATGTTATATTGACGAAAATTAATCTAACATTAAATTATTAATCCATAACATTTTTTGTAATGTAAATTTACATTTAT